CGGGACTCTACGGGACTCTACGGGACTCTACGGGACTCTACGGGGCACTACGGGACTCTACGGGGCACTACGGGGCACTACGGGACTCTACGGGACTCTACGGGACTCTACGGGACTCTACGGGACTCTACGGGACTCTACGGGACTCTACGGGGCACTACGGGGCACTACGGGACTCTACGGGGCACTACGGGACTCTACGGGACTCTACGGGACTCTACGGGACTCTACGGGGCACTACGGGACTCTACGGGGCACTACGGGACTCTACGGGACTCTGCGGGACTCTGCGGGACTCTACGTGACTCTGCGGGACTCTACGGCATTCTACGGGACTCTAGGTTTAGACTCTAGGACCCTAGATTTCTAGGAGCGATCGTACTCACGCAGATTCGCTGCATGAGAGTTCCGTTCGCGACACCGACGCGTGCCCCAAAGCTCCGCATCACGCCGACATCGCGGCAGCAATGTACTTAATAGTAGTAGATAAGTAGATAAAATCAAATGGAGCGTCACGAGTGTTCTTCCCTTACCATCAAAAGCGAGCAGTGTTGGTAAGCGTAGTTAAGCCACCACCGTCAACTGCCGCATGGTATTACCATCACAAGTACGTGAGCCACCAACGGCGACTGGTAGATGGTACCGCCATCGCGAGTACGCGAGCTCCTATCAGAAATTCGTTGCGCCGCCCTTAGGTGCAAAAAGCGGTGAAAGCTAACGCACGAAACCAGAGGGCAGCACAGGATGCGATCGCACGATCCTGCCCGTGAGCAATCTCCCAACTCATCTCTGCTACATACAAGTGCATCGCAGTTGATCGCAGTCGATCACTGTCCCGTGAAAACAACTTGTCGATGCGTTTCGCTCTACAACTAAATCGTTGGCACAGAATTGTATACTTTTTAATTTTGGGTTTCTTTAAACGTACCCGCCTGAAATTAATCGATATAACTTTAACTCATACATACTATAAGCAACTACCTGTTCTATATTTCTCCCCACTTTGAAAGATCGCTGGTCCCTCTGCAGGCGACACTTGAAGACTTTCCTAATTATGGCGGCGCTTCGATTCACTTTCCTTTTCCCTGATAAACGTGTACTATGGAACCATTGAAAGGCGTTGCTCCATGGATAATAATTCGACAATTAGTCAATAAGATAACTGTGAAAAACAACGATGCGGGCGCGGATACGTACAATACCGTCGAATTTAAATTCGATATATTATTTCATACATATGACACATGCACGTCGTTGTGTTGCCTTCGTTTCGTTATCGTTATTACTATCAGCGTTATTATTATCATCAATGATATTATTTATAGTAACAATCTAAACGGTCACGTACTTACAGTNATTTATATTTATTTCACTCCTTACTCTTCATAATTCGTTCATCACTCGTTTCGCTTGAGACTTAATTCCATCGATGACAATGTGATTTGTCATTCCGCGACACGATCAAAGAACATAAAAGGTTCTTTCAAGGATTTTTACGAGTCCGTTGCGACAGCCAACAGCAATGGCAACGAAAGCGTTAAGAAGTTTATCCCCGAGCCTTATCCTTTATAGGCGGTTACAAGTTGAGATGCATATATTCAATGTACACTGTACACTCTCTGTATGGCCGTCCAAATAAATCTTCTTAGGTAATTTTACCTAGGTCCGGCATTCTGATCTGTGTGTCAACTTGAAGCGGAACGGGCAATAATGATAAAAGGAACGACCATCATAACCGGGACTTCTGTCATGCGAATTATCAAGTAATTATCGAACGAGACGACCCCGTTGACTAACTTTCCTTAAATAATGGATGGTCCCGAGTAACATAGAAATCTCAGATGTAAACAGAAACTCGAATTCATCGCGACAATCGTATTACATATCCAGACAGAAATTCCTCGAAACGTATGTACACGAATCGCGTTACGCCACAAAGGAGACTAAAAGATTTTCGTTTCTTCGTGAATTCGATCTAACTAGATTATCTTCTTGTAAAGATCCTTATTTATATTATATACACTAACCTTATCTACTCAAGTATTGGTATATTTGGCCTCTTTAATATACTCGTCGTCGTTAGCTCGTCATCGTAATCGTTACGCCGGAATGACACGCTATTCGGGCATTTCGAAAGATTCGCGCATTACTCACATGCCGATTGCGAATTACCTTTCACGTGTTTCGTTTACGCTAGTGTTCCCGAATACTTTTTTTGTAGTTTTTATCTTCAACTGGCGAAGAAAGTGAATAATGCAAGGGGAAGGATTTCCTTTAAATCGGCATTAGACGAAACGACGTATCGGTCCTTTACGGTCTTTACGCCTAAAACGAGCGAATTTCGAAATCTAATCGGGTGATTTACTTACGGTCGATCTCTCCGGGGATCGGAATGCTCTGCTCGTAATGACTAGAAACCAGTGAAAGATGACGTAGCATACGTAAAGGAGACAGCGGAACATCGTACAAGTTCTTCGATAATGATCGGAAGAAAAAGCCATCTTCGACACTAAATTATCCGCAGTGTTCTAGGTCCAAGTTCTAATTAGCGAGGGGTTTCAATGTTTTGTTCCAACGTTTCGCAGCATGAAAATTGTTGCTTCTGGTAGGAACTCGCTGTTTAGCCAATATCTATTAGTATCTCGACCAAAAACGGTACGGTGGCTCAAGCTCCACCGACGAGCGGGTAAATCGATTTTCACGAGAACCTAAGATTCCCTACACAATTCTAAAATGCGTCGGAACGTCAAAGCAACGGCCATCTCTGCGATAACAAACGTTGACCAACTGGAATTGAAAGACACGCGTACAGCGTTTAACATCGATTACATTTTATCTCGCAGTGTTGCTCATCGTCACACCTTACTAAGGCTCTTTGTAAATAAACGAGTCCGGAGAGAGAGAGAGAGAGAGAGAGATCGGTAAACATGGCTCAACAAAACCACCTTGCGAGGGGACAGAGTATTTCCGAAACGGCAAATTTTTGTCTGCAAGCTAATATGCGCCGTGTCATTTGCAAAGACTAAAAATTCGCATAAGGTAAAGTAACGAGGTTCCCGCTTTTATAAAAGGTATACAACCATCTTAACTTCCGGTGACGTCGGCTCCTCTCTTTTTTCTGTGAGCCGAAGCAAGGACGACAAACGCACTTTCGGATCATTAAAATGAAGATCCGCCCCTTGGTTGGGCCCCTCTCGATATGTTTTCTACAGGCCCGCGAGTGAATAATCGGTGAAAAATATGATATACTTTTGGCCACATTTGGCACTGCGTTGCACGTGACTAACAACAAGAATTGCGGGACAAAGACGTCGTTCCTATTGTCGATGATATGTTACTAGGCCTTTTGAGATCTGGCGGACCCGAGAATTCTTCATTTCCGATCGCCCCATCCGGCACTATTGTAGAACCAAGAAGATGCGCTTTCATCCCTCGTTTTACTCCATGTATTGTCGAGTCCACTGCCCCCGCCATCCTGTAAAAGAGAATGCGACTTTTAATGCACCGTTCGGAAACACTGGAAGCGCTCGCCGCCGTCCACGCCGACTGTCCTTACCACAACGTTGAGTTGATGCGTTGCAGGCGATAGGTAATCCATATTGGTGTAGTAGGACGAGTAATTCTGGTAACACTGTTGCTGGGAGGTAGTCGTCCATGCTAATCTTTGATGGTCCCCTGGAAATCCCCCGCCTCCCTCCGTCACCGCCGGACTCCAGATGCTGTTGCTGCTACCTCCGCTGCTGTAGACCGTTCCGCCCAGCTGAAAGCGAAAGATCCGTAAGCCGTCCTGGCGACGAACCGCCCGCATCGCTCGCGTCGGACGAACCAGGACGAACCGAATGGACACTCGAGGTTAGGAGATCGTTCCAATCGCCACCGGGTCAAATCTACCACTGAATATCCGTGGAGTCGGCCTTTCGCTTTCGTCCGACGCTACCGCCCGCCCATACCGACGGGCGGTAAAGATGTACTCTGTCGGTAACTTACGCTCGGTGGAGTCGTGCTAGCCGTCAGAAGTAAGCCGGTGGCGCTCCCTGCCGGCTTGTACTGAGGAGAATCCCTCAAAAGAGCTGGCGAACTCGCCGCGGACCCGCTGGTCCCGCCGCTTCTGCAAACCCGACTTTCGATTACCTTTACCTCTCGACATTCGGGTACCGAGGAAACGGTTCGTCCGTCTCCGGAATCGAGAGTATCCGCGGACGAAATGCGGGGCTCCGCTCGTTAAGCCCGTAGGGTCAGGCGGTTGTACCGGCTCCCGACTCGTTTCGCTTCGCTATGGTTTCACGCAAGTATCGAGAAACGACCGTACCTCGTGCAGGCGTTGTAAGAACCGACGTACCTACCGTTGAGTAACACTTCGCGTCCCGCCGAATGTCACGCGACGCAACGCATTAAAAACGCTCTCGTTGTCTCCGCGCGGAGCGACCTCCACCGTGTCAAAATATCGTGCAAATCGATTACGAACAAGTGTCTCCAGTTCGGAAGTGACATTTTCCAAATTGGCTCGATCGGTCAAAATCCCAGGAACGCGAGAGCAAACTAACGTTCTCGCTTATCGAGGAACGCGTAGACGAAATTCGCCGAGAGGTACGAGAAATTTCGTTTCCTTCCACGGAGATACACGGGACGGTACCTTCGCCGGTCCGCACCGCGCGATAGGGCAGTTTAACGCGAAACCAGGGCGAATCCTTCCGTTTTGAGTTACCCGAGCCAACGCGGAGCACCGGATACTCACAGCGGAGTGGTCGCGGGCACCGCGGCCGCCGGCGTGGGAGTGGTGGCTATCGACGGACTCTTCCCCGGGGGTGGATTGCTGGCGGGGTTTCCGGAGGGTTTCTTCGACCTCGGGGCTTTGTCCTGTTGCTGTTGTTGCTGCTTTTGCTGCTGCCGGCATTTGGCTCGTCGGTTCTTGAACCAAACCTGAAACGCGAGCAACCGGCGCGTTAGCGACCGGAGCCGACCCGGAGCCGACCCGGAGCCGACCCGGAGCCGACCCGGAGCCGACCCGGAGTATGTCCGCGACAGCGGCCGATTACATCCTATCGGTCGCCGTCCGCGTTCCCTTGGGTAGGGGCCGGGGCGATTCCGCCGGCGGTCCGTCGAGGCACGAGAAGGGAAAAAGCGCGCAGGGTTCGACCTCTGAGTTCTCGGGTCCTCTCGGGTCCTCCCGGGGTCGGCCGAGTTGAGAACACGCGGGGAGAAGAGAGCCGCTGAGAAGCCCCGCGCGATCAATGTTACGCGGGAGGCGAGCTTGGGTTTCTCCGGATTTTCTGGGGAACGACACTACCCGAGGCGCGTTCTTCCACTCCTCGCCTCGACGACTCTCCGGTTTCACCGGTCGTCGCGTTTCCGCGAAAATCGGCCGCAAGCGGTACGAGTCGAGTCGAGTCGAAGGGACCGAGCCGACGGAATTAGCGACCTCTCACGTTTTTCGGCCGGACCCTTTGAAGGGCGCGCTTTCGCTCCACCGGCTCCAAAGCGAGTCGGTCGGGCCTGCCTAGATCGCGACCCCGAGAGGCGTCCTTAAGAATCCCGGATCGTCGCCGCGCCGCCCGCTGCGCTTCCCGGCGTCTTCGGTCCAGGCTCACGTTTTCCCCTTCTCTTCTCGGCAAGAGGCGCGTTTCCCCGTCGTGGCGCGGACGCGCCCCCGGCGGAGTAGCAGGGCCGACCGGGACGTGCGCAAGACTATGGGCCCATCGGCCCCATTCATCGAAACTCGGGCCAGGTGTGTAGGCCCGTAATCGACCGTCACCGATGAGGGAGAAGTATGCACCGACACGACGCCGCTCGCTTCGGGACGAGGGAGACGCCGTGGAAACGCGCCCGAGATCGGCCGCACCTCCGCCGCGATTTCTTCGACCCGGGCCCGAGCCCCGATCGCGCCCTAGGGAGTTTAAAGTTCTCCCGCGCGCGACCGCATCATTTCTAATTTCACCGGCGTCGAGGCCATTGGGATGCAAATTGCAAGTTGCATTTTAAATGGACGTAACGGCCGCTGCTCCGCCGATTCGTATCAACGGTCGCATCGGACGGCCGATACCGACACGGTCGTTTACCGAATTTCTCGCATTTCTTACCCGTAGGCAATCAATTGAAAAATCCACTCTATGCGATTGCACGCGCGAGGTGAAAAGACCAGCTCGAGGAAGGAGACCCGCGTACGGCCACGTTCCGCCACCCTCCGGCGAGAAGAAACCGACACGAGGGTAGCACGAAACCCCTCTTGCGTTGGCTCGAGACCTCGGCAAGGTATTAACGTAACTGGTTCGAGGTAACTTGGACCGTTTAACCACTCTGGCCGGAGACCCCGTTATCGGACTCGTTATCCATCTTGTGCCGCGTTATTTATCCGTTATTATCTTTAACGCGGTCGTGCCCTCGTCAACGATTACAGTTCGGACAACGATACGATTTCGTTTGAAACACGGCACGCGATCCGTTCGTTCTCTCGGTAAATCGACGTTCGTAGAAAACCTACCTGGACTCTTGACTCCGGCAAGTTGATCTTCAAGGCGACTTCCTCTCGCATGAAGATGTCGGGATACCTTGTCTTGGCGAACAATCCTTCCAACACGTCGAGCTGCGCTCTGGTAAAGGTCGTCCGTTCCCGGCGCTGCTTCCTCGGATTACCTTTTAGGCGAGAAACGTTCCGCGGTCATAAATCTGCTCGCGTATCAACGCCCTTCTAGGCGTCTCCCCGCGACCCCGCGTCTCCCTCCCTCCCTCGCCGGATGTCTCGACCCGAAGACGATCGACGAGGCGATTTTATCCCCGACAGCCCCGGTACGGATTTATTTACGCGTTGGAAGGCGCGACGCGTCGACCGCACGGCCAGGGTGGCCGATCGGACCTCCTCCTTTCCGCAAAAATGCGCGGCCGTGGTACCCCGCCCGCGGAGTGAAGAAAGAGGCGACCGCCTCTTTCTTCCCCCAGGGACGGAGCGGAAACGCGACGGGATTCCGCGGGGTCGAGCACGGAGCTAAAGTAATGAAGAGAGAAAAGCACTCACAGTAGTAGGACTCACCGGCGGGAGTGCACCCGGGGTAGCCGATGGTGGAGTGGAGCGCCTCGATGGGGGGCATCCCGAGGGCGCTGACGTAGGGGTTGGTCTTGAGGGCCCCGTAGGGCCCGGCCGCCGAGGCCCCGAACCCGCCGGGCCCGAAGAGGTCCGGCGGCGACGCGGTGGAGGCCGTCAGGCCCCCGAGATCGGTCGCACCGGCGCTTCCGCTGCAACCGGAGCTTCCCCCGAGGCTGTTCGGCCACATCACCACCACCCCCACCGCGACGCCCCGGCGGCCTCCTCAGAGAGACGTCGTCGACGCCGACGCCCCGCTCCGTCGCTGGAACCATCGATTCGACCTTTGGGTCACGATTCCAAGACGAGGACGCGACCGGCAGCTGCGTCGGCCGCTCGAGTCGGGGGAACGGGATAATCCTCGACCCCGGCTCGTCCTCGACGAGGCGCGCGTCGAGGCGCGCGTCGGGGCGCGGCCCTTCGGCCCGATTCGGATACGCGTCGCGGCCGATCTAGAAACCTAGTACCGCGCCCAGTCTCACATGCCCCGCCAGCTAAGCCGCGTTTTATCCTCTCGAGTTACAAAGTCGAGGCGCTGCGGCTAGTTTCTCCCGTCCCTCCCTTTATTATTTACTTATCCGTGCGTTCGCGCGCGGGTGGCCGGCGGGAGGCGCGACGCCCGAGACGCCGCTCCGCATCTGCGCGGCCGGGCGAACGCCATTGTTCCTCCTGCCGTCGCTCGCATGTGCTCCGGATCGAGGCGCTAATCGGCGGCTAATTAACGTCTGCTCGGGACGCGATAAGCGGCGCGATCCAATTCTCGTGTGTCGAGGAGACCAGGGGGCAGGCGAGCGTTGGACGAGTCAAAAGACGTTTCCAATTCGGATCCACCGGCCGTTTAACGTTCTAACGTTCTAACGTTCTAACGTTCGGACCGGCCGACAGACGCGAGCGCTGAGTTACGGCCCCGCCGCGTCTTCTCCCGACTCCTCGACGTCGACTTCCTTCCGGGCTCTTGACTTCTCCCGATATTACCCGGAGCCTGTGGCGGGGCGTCGGCCCCTTTCTTTAATAAAGTATTGTTCCCTCTTCCCGGGCGGAGGCCGCAGTGCGGTGCGGTGCGAGCTCTCTTTGCGCCCTCCGCTCTCCACCTCCGGCGCCGTATTAAAACGTTCGGGACGCGAACCGGGGAAAGGCAGGGCTGCCCCCGGCACTCGTGGGCCCGACCGAGCGAGAGGCGGCGACGGCGCCCTTTATTTTTGTGCAACTTCCAGCCGGACACAATGCCGGGTGCACTTGCTACACGGGCCCGGCGAGTCGCCGAGGACTCTCGAGCAGTCCGCGACCCCGCACGGCGGCGCGTCCACCCCCGATCGATCGACCGACCCTTATCCCGGGGCCGCGCCACCCGGCCCCACTGCAAACACTTTGCGTTGCCAATGGATAGATATACGCCGCTATCCCTAATGACCGTTAAATCCCCATTACCGCGTTCAGCCACCGTGAGCGGGGGCGAGGGGCCGGCGAAGAATTCGATTTGCCGGGCGTTTATGGCCGAGATTGAATCCGCCGAGCCGCGGGGGTCCACCGCGGACGCGGTCGCGGAAACGCAGGAGGGTCGAGGGCCCGCCCGGTCTCTCCGGCCGGCGCAGGCGTAGCCTTCCCGGAAAGTTAAGTTCCGGAGAGCATTGTTTCGACGAGTGTTTGCCCGCGGCCGCATTGTTCCCCGAGAGCACTCCTTCGCCGCAACGGTTGGGCGCGGTAATCGACGTCGACCGGCACGGCACTGGGGCGCCATGTTACAACGAACCACGGAGGCGGAAGACGAATTCGCGGGCGAGCGATCGATCGAGCCCGCGGACGACGTCACCGAGGGGACCGACTCGGACGTTCCCCGGGTCCCCGAGGCGCGGCGCGCTCCGCGACGTGGCGGTCCCTTTGGGCCGACCCGATCGCCCCCTCCGGTAAGTGGCCGGCGCACTAGGCGGAAGGTGCGGAAGGCGCGGAAGAATGGGAAGTCACCCTCTTCGGTCGACGGGTCGACGGGTCGACGGACCGACGGACGGGGGTCCATCGAGTCTCGAATTGCTCGGGCCCGGCCGCGAGCGACTCGATCCTTCGCCGCTGAATGCGATCCAACCTGCGCGTCCCGTTGTGGCGCGCTCATTGAGCGTAAAACTTAATTCCCGTGGAAACGGCCGGTCGCCCCTCCTTCGCCCGGGGCCGATTTCGATTCCGCCGTCTGGGTGGCCGCGTCGCTCGCGACGCCTTCGGGACGAGGTCGGCCCGGCGGGACCGCGCCAGGAATGCCGCCGGTCCGGCCGCGACCCGTCCGCGAATCCGCCGGCAGAGCCGCAGCCACCGGCTCGAACGCGCGAACCGTTCTGGACTCGGCCCGCGGACGGGACGTCCTCTCCGCGCCCTCCCCGAGGACGCCGCGCCGCGGCGAGGTCCTACCCATGGAAGGCGGATTCCCTTATCCGGGAGGGAGGCGAGCCAAGAAGATTACCGTAAGCAGATTATTTCCGTGGAAACCATGCCCTCTCTCTCTCTCGCTCGCTCTCTCGCGCCATCCGGACTCGCCTGCCGACGCCGCCGATCTCTCTGCGGTCCAACGGCCGCGGAAACGCTCCGGTTTCGGTACCATCGACGGCCCCGACGATCGATCGCCCTTTCGCCTCTGCCCAGCTAATCTCTTCGGGCATTTTCGCGCTATTTTTTCGACCGGCTCCCCAATTTCCGGGCACCGGGCATTTTACGCAATAAGGTAATCCGGGGTTTTTCACCGCAAGCGTTGATTGCTACCGCCCACCTACATTGGTAATGAAAACGGGAAAGCGGACTCGGCCCTAAAATCGACGCTGTCCCGATGAGAACCACCAACGGGCCGACGCTCCCGAGGGTGCGCCCCCACCCCACATCGGAATTCGTTCCCTAGCGCGCCGTCCGCGTCCGCGATTTCGATCTTACTCGTTCGAGGACGACCGTGAGCCTTGCGTGACCAATCGACGCGTTTTTCAACCGGAGACCCGGCCGCGTCGACGCGTCCGACTCGAGAGAAACGAGCGCCGAAGTAAGCGGATGACGCGCGGTTACACGCGTGTCCACTTAGCCGGCTCTGCTGCGACTCCGCTCCGTCTCCGCACCGGAGGCAGGCACCCCCGCGTCTTCCTCTTTCCACTGGCGAAAACGTCTCGTCGAGATCGGTCCGCGGACGACCGACGGCTCCACGTCGGGGAGTCGGCCTGCGCCGGTTCCCCAGGCCCCGATGGCGAGTGGATCTTCGGTTTGAAATGTCGCACGCTCCGGGGCCGATGTCGCCGATTGCCGATACCGATCGACGGGGCAGGTAACGCGTCGCCTGAATCACGAGGCGTCGACGCTCGAGCTTCACTCGTTCGTTTTACGCCGTCGAGCGTCTCGGTGTCCACTGGGTGCGTCCGCTGGACACGTCCACTGGACACGTCCACTGGACACGTCCACTGGACACGTCCACTGAGCAGGTTGCGAGCACTCGCGCGGAAGCGTTAAAGTAATGCGCATAAATCCAGGACGACGCGATCGGCAAAGAAACCAAAGCGACCGACTAGACGCGGGGCAAAGACCTCGAACAACGACTGACGGAGACGTCGTCCGCTGCGGCGGCACGGCCGTCGGCTACGGTCGTCGCGCAAAAGTCGCGCAAAAGTCACGCAAAAGTCACGCGAAAGTCACTCCGCGGCCCGACGTCACCGGCCTTGTCCGAACTCGACGCGGACACTCCCGAGGACGGCCCGACACCGTCGGGTACTCACCCAAGAGGCGTCGTGGCGGCACCAGGGACTCCTTGCTCCCGCTTCCGGTGGCGGCGGCTCGGGCCCGGAACTCCGGAGCCCCGTAGCCCCCGCGGAGGTCCGGTCGCGGCGCCCGGGGTGATCCACCGATAACGATTCTATTCTACTCGGGGCCCTAATCCTCGGTTCGCTCCCGATCGGGCGGCGAATATAGGACGGGATCGGACGGACGGACGGACAGGGAGACAGACGTGGGTACCGGAGTCGCTATTATAGCAGGAGGGCGTAGGAGCGAGCTCAACTTTTCACGAGAACTTTAGTTGTTACGGATCGCTCCTCTTGGTCGGGGCGGTTGCTCGGGGGACCGCGAGGGGGTTCGAACGGCGCCGGCCCGAGGAAAAGGGGGCGTCGCCGGGGCCGTCCCGACGCCGGCGTCACGGCTGGAGGGGAGCCAATGAGGGGCCGCCGACGCCCTCCTGCGCGCCGCGCGCCGCGACATCTCCGCGCTGCCGTCGAAACGACGGCCGAGGCCGCGCTCCCGCGACGTCGCCATTTTCCCTCGACGCGGACGCCTCGACGTCCGCCGACCGGCGGCTTCCGACCCCTCGGTCGCTACCCAAGGCCTTGGGAATCCGCACCGTTCGCGTTCCGCTCTCTCCGAGCGACCGAATCGAGCGGGACGTCTCTCGGCCGGGGCTCGTCCCCGGCTGCCGCCGGACTGCGCGGAACTCCCGACGAAATCCTCGATTCGAGTCCGTTTTCCCTCCCTCGAGGAGGGCGGCCGCCCGGAGCACCCGTTGGACGCGGACAACGACGGGGCTTCCGTCGCCGCGCGGACGAGAGCGAAAGCCGACCGGAACGGGTCCCAAGGTGGAAGCTTCGACGGAGAATCGTTAATTTGGCGCGACGTCGAGATCGTCGGCCAATCGCGAACGTTTACGTTCAGAGAAAACTCGTCGAGGGGGCGCGTTCCGGCGAGAATTGCGTTGACCTTTTTCTACCGATGAAAATCCATCGAGAAAGTCGGCAGGGGACGGTCGCCGCTTTAACGGGATCCACCGATGCTACTTTTGATAGCCCGTACAGTCAGGTGACGGCATTATCTACGAACCGTATACCCACGATATAGCAATTTAACTTGCTCACGTGCGAGCGGTTAATGCTCTTACGGGATTTCGAAAAGATCAGCCAGCATTACTATGCTATTAGCGTGGCTAAAACCGGCTTGCTTCCATAAACCCATACCAACCTACCGTTACTTGGCTCATCGCACCCATTCATAAGCCCTTAGCCAATTTTCTTCATTGACCGATCGACTCGTTGAGCGACGTCGAGCATCCGTCGCGACCGCGGTCACCGGAACCGCCGATGGATCCGCACCGGATCGATCGACGCGGCCGTAGCCCGCTCCACTGCGGAGCATCGGCGACTCGTTCTTCCGGAGCGGCCATTAGCGACCGACGCCCCGGTCTCGCGA